CCCACACCCACACCCACACCCACACCCACACCCACACCCACACCCACACCGAAAATTTTGATACAAAAATCTAGAAGATTGTAATTGACGGGTTTATTGCTTCCTTTCAAACTGCAAAAAGTAATTAGCTATAATAGTTTACGATTTGAGGCACCAAAATCTTGTAGAATACAGAATAAATCCTATCATGTTTGGTCTCACGACAGAACAGAGCTGAAGTGGAGCCGATTCTCTGTGGCGATCTATTGATCGCTAATTCACAGATGAGAAAGTCATCAGGGTTAACACTTTTCTAAAAAAAAGGGTCTATCTTTTATGAGAAAAAAACAGGTCTGATCTATTAACTCTAAAAAGGTCTAAAACTTTCTCAAAACTTAAGAGAATTTATACCGAAATAATTTTGTTAGGAAGGGCCAAGCAGGAGAAATGCGAAATCTATGAGACCAAAAATAAAAAAGCACAAGTGGATGAGATGTGACGACTGTTTCATCTTCACAAGGTACTTTAATCGACACTACTAAATCGGTGATGACGATGCCGCTATCTATTTTAAATTTGAAGTAATGATTTCTCTTTCCGTTATGCGTGTTCTATGCAGTAACACTCTCCCACGTTCATGCGTGTATACATCAATACTCATGAGTATTAGAGCAAGCAAATCGAACTTTTCTGAGACGGCACTAGTACAATTCTTCGATTCCGATAACCAATCCAGATGTGTACTTACCGAATTCGCTCCGGTTCTCCTAGTCACTGTAGTTGTTGATTGAATATTTCTTCCATCCGATACATTATATATCACTGTATATATTTCTATAGAGCACGAATAAAGCTGTGTTGTACATAGCATAGCGGATCCTGCTTTCTGGCAAATTAGCCGTGAACACGTCTTTTTAATGATTGTATAGTTTTTCACAAAACACATGGCTAGTATGTAAACTAATTCATCAAGCTTTTCTGTAACATAAAATGCAGCTCCAATCGATCCAACAACTATCGATGTTATTAAAAACATTATCGAAAAACATAAAAAACATAAGGCACTCGTCGCACAACAACAAGTTGCTGACATTTTTGCTTCAATTTTTCCAGTAAAAATACTTGCATATGTAGATACACTTGATAACACAAGAAGTGAGAAGGTAAATGTTGTTTTTTTTATTTTTTCCGTCATCATTAAATGATTCAGTTTCGAATTGCAAAAATTTTACAACGCCACATCGACGTATAGAAGATGAGTGGCATCTATTTTTCTAATTTAGGGTTAGGGCGTGGGTGTGGGTTTAGGTTTGGATTTGGATTTGGGTTTGCTTTTTTGGTATGAGTGTGAGATGTGGGTGTGAATGAGTGTCGATTTGGGTCTTCTCTTCACCATCGACATCCAATGCCCTCCCTACACCCACCTAGATCCACACTCACCCTATTATAATGATTTGTATCTCTATGTTCATCAATATGAACAGCGATTACCAAACAAAAAAAAAGATGAAGAAAATAAATTATGAATTGATAATGAAAAATGAAATTGTTTAATTTGAAAAGAAATGATCAAATTTTCGTTCGCCACGTGAATAGAGTGTATGGCGATGGAGAGTGAAGAGAAAGGTTTTTAACCTTTCATAGAGAAAAGGAGAATGACGAATAGTGACGTTGCTTTTTTCATTCGTTATACCTCGTCATCAAGGTGATGCTTTTTGTTCGTTCTTCATTCATCGTTCTTTCTTCGTTGTTTGTTTGTTTGATTGTTTTGCTAAGTCATGAATACATAAGCACATTTCATTCTTATTTAAATAAATGTTTTCTCATATCTGAATTCATACAAAATGTCTTCACAACAAATTAATATTTTATTCACAGGTGCAACTGGCTATATTGGAGGCTCCGTTCTGACTGGTCTTCTTCAACATCCAAATTCTTCAAACTTCAAAATAACCGCTCTGATTCGTGGTGATGAAAGTAGAGCGAAGAAACTTGCATCGCTCGGAGTTATTCCTCTGATTGGTTCAAATGATTCACACGATATCATCGAGAAAGCAGCAAGTGAATCACATGTGGTAATTCATACAGGTGATTCAGCTGACGATCTTCCATCAGCTAAAGCAATTATCTCTGGTTTGAACAAACGAACTCAGACAACAGGAAAGCCTGTTATTTATATTCATACTAGTGGCACTGGTGTCCTTATTGAAGATGTTCGTGGCAAGAAAGGATCGAATACAGTCTACAATGATCTTGATCCTGATCAGATCGATGGTTTAGCCGACACACAGATACATCGAAATGTTGATCTCTTAGTAACTAACTCAGCACAAGCCAATCCTCTATTGAAGAGTGTCATCATTCTTCCGCCTCTCATCTATGGCATCGGCAGAGGACTGTTCAATCAGACTTCCATTCAACTTCCAATATTGATTCGCGCTGCTTTGAAACGAGACAAGGCCGAAACGATTGGAGCAGGTGAATCGACATGGGACAGTGTTCATATCGACGATTTAGTCGATGCTTACATTATTCTTTTCGATCAACTTCTCGCTGCCTATGGACCTAATGCTAAATCCGATGCGAAGCCCAGTCCATATTTAACTACAGGACGTGAAGGCTACTATTTTGCCGAAAACGGACGACATTCGTGGCGACAATTGGCCGAAAAAATTGGTGAAGTTCTTCACAGGAAAGGAGCTATCAAATCGTCCAAAGTCACGAGCTTTCCTGATGATGAAATAGAAGATGCTCTATGGGGTCCAGCAAGTTGGAACGCACTCGGAAGTCAATCAAATTCTAAGGCGGAAAGATTGCGCAAATTGGGATGGAAACCACATCGACCCAATCTGTTCGACAGTGTTGAAGAACAAGTTGATGTTTTGATCAATGATGCGAAGAATTAATACTCTTTGAAAACTTATGTTCAGGACAATTCATTTTTATGAAATCTTTGTTCATAAAAATCTATCTGGTCATCACATCTTCTTATGTATTTCTAATTCAATCTAAATATCAATAAAAATGAAATTTCATGGAAAAATTTTGAATAAACGCTATGTGAAAAAGATATGTTCTAGGTAAAATTGATTTGTAGTTACGCGCAAAATGAAGAAATTATTTTCTTCCATATGAAAATGAATTCCACTTTTTATTTTGACTAAGAAAACAGAAAGTACTTAGCTTTTTAATTAAATAAACTTATTATGTTCATTTCTCACCGATTCATACCCTTTGGAGGTAACCCAACACCAGATTCTGCTTCGTCTCCAGTGCTTTTTAATCCAGAGATTTGTAAAAAAAATCATAAAAATACTTCACGACAAGTACGATCAATAACTTGAAATAAATAGCTAACAAGATTTTATAACTATATAGTTGCATTATTTTTACATTAATATCTTAAAATTCTGCTGTGTGTGGTGAGCTTTAGGATTGAGTATCGATGTCTTTTTTTT